AGATATATTTTATTTGACAGACGGATGGACGGACAGATAGATAGATAGATAGATAGATAGATAGATAGATAGATAGATAGATAGATAGATAGATAGATAGATAGATAGATAGATAGATAGATAGATAGATAGATAGATAGATAGATAGATAGATAGATAGATAGATAGATAGATAGATAGATAGATAGATAGATAGATAGCGTTGTTTAATTAAAGTTAACAGCGGTTGGGAAAGGTTGATAGAAGAAAGGGCTCTGGTTAGAGTGCACTAAAAATAGATAGAGTTACTCACTGGTGTGCTCACAGTAGTAGATTTACTACACTCACTCTGTCAAGGGGGCGATCAATCTGCCCTCTCTGCATTATAACCTGTGTGCTTCTGAACACTGGGCTCTTGTAATAACAGGCTGGGTCACACACCGTGAGTCACCTTCTCATTTTCTGAGATGATTTCACTCTGCATGGGAGGTTTCTCCAGTTTGATGTTACTTCCACAGTGAAACAGGACTTATAGTGGACTGAAACTGCTTTGGGTCCATCTATGCATTCATACAAGTGGATAGACAGTTGACACAGAGAGCGACAGATGGAGGCAGATTTATGGAACATGGGAGGTACAAGAGTGAAAAAATGGAAAAAGGGATGGACAGGAGGAATGAAGCTTGCAGTAGTGTTGTTGAACTCTGATTAAACTGTCAGAGTGAAAAACGATAGGTCATAGTGAGGTACGTTTGGGATGCTACCACACACGCACACACACACACACACACACACACACACACACACACAAAATATGGGAGCTTATTTCCACCAGGAAAATAATAATAAAATAGGTTATTGCAGCTTTTTATCTCACAATTCGGACTGTTTTTCTTGCAATTCTGAGAGGAAAGGTCTGAACTGTGAGATATAAACTTGCAAGTGCAATAAAACCAAAACGTTTTGTTGAGAAAAAATGTGGCAATTAATTTTACTTTTTTTTTAATTCCATGGCAGGAAAATAAAACAACCCAAAAAACTAAATTATGAGATGTATCTCAGAATTCAGAGAAAAAAATGTCAAAATTGCAAGATGTAAGTTACAAGATTGTGAGTTTACAGCTCGGAATTCTGATTTTTTTTCTCTGACTTCTCAGTTTAAAAATAAACTAACATAAATATAAAATTGGAACTTTGAGAAAAAAGTCAGAATTATGAGAGAAAATTTCGATTTTCCACTTTAGACATTCTACTAACTATAAGTAACTTTGCAACCTCATGTCAACTAACTCTCATTAGGGTATTAGTAGACTAGACTGTCAGTAGACTGTTATGGTTATGGTTATGGTTAGGTGTTAGGGTTCGGGTGAATAAGTTGACTTGTAGTTGCCAAGTTACTTATAGTTAGTAGAATGTCTGTTGGGGGAGCATCAAAATAAAGTGTTAGCAGATATTTAGCAGACAGTCTAATACTCTAATGAGAGTTAGTTGACATGTAGTTGCAAAGTTACTAATAGTTAGTAGAATGTCTAAAGTGGACTATCAAAATAAAGTGTTACCAAAGTTTGCAATACAAGCTTCCATAAAAAAGAGAGAAGAGATAAGAGTGAAAAGAGATATTTGTGATTGTTCTCCACTGACGATCACAATGCAAAAAGATGGAAAAGTGCCATAAAAGATGCATGTAAAGGGGAAAAGATGACAAGGAATGGGAGAATAATCCCACGACTCTCCGGTTTACGATCAGGCCTTTTCCTGTTGATCCAAACTTTATCTCCATATCTAACCCAGGGAAGAGCTATAGAGCTCCATACAAACAAAGCTAATCCTGGGAGAGGAACCGATAGCACGGGAAATCGGCCTTGCTGAGCAAACATCGGTTTTCATAGATGTAAATTAAGATTAAACTAATTTGTATAGCCATGTAACAGTATAATTTGTTATCTTTGTAATTACGAAACCATTTCCCTAGTCTTTGATGTCCAAATATTACTTTATTACGTTGTCAAACTGAGAGTATCCTCCAAGTGTCATGGATCATTCATGGATGCAGGGACAGACCAGATCCATCCGTAGTGCCCATGGGAATCGATTAGTAAAGGTGACCATCGTTAGAGAGGAAGAAAACAACGAGTTCTGTTTGGAAGTCATAATCTCTGATAGGCTCATGAGTCAAAGGTCAGGTGTTCAGTTTCAGATGAAGGGGTGGTGGCATGAACAGGACGGATGCAAGTGATTTTTAGAAAGCGAAAATTAGTCTTAATTCACAAGATCAGTTTGCCCATTAAGACGCCACCCAAGAGAGATGCATCATGGTCTTATCAGCACAGAAATTGATGCACATAACAGTTTCTCTCACTTTCTTTTAATCACCCCCATCCTGCTTTACATACAGTATATATACAGTATAAATGTGTGGGGCAACCCGTGTTCTTTATGTAGGTTACACATCTAAAACATATGGAAGCGCATTTTACATAAACACATACTTTGATAAATTATAAAGTATATGAGATAAAAACTCAAAATTATGACAACATTATGAGATAAAGTCATAATTATGACAGAATTTGGACTATAACTCATACTTATTACAGTATCTCATATTTTTCAATTATATGTAAATATATATATATATATATATATATATATATATATATACATTTATTTTATTTATATATTTTTTTATAACATTTAATGTCATAATTTTGACTTTTTATTAATGAAGCTGTCTGCAGTTCACAACAAATACCTTGTTTACTTCATGTTTACACTTTACTGGTATAATGAGAGTATCATGAAAATGTAGAACAGCAGTGGTGTCAGAAACTTTAATTTAACACCTCTGATTGGCTGTTGCATTTATGTGCTCAACAGACATGTCCTGTGATTGGTTAAGGCGCAAAGCAGCAAAAAAACAAACAAACAAAAACACACATTGTACTTGTGACGCGACTGGATTAACACTGGATTATTAATATTTTTATAATAAATATTTGTTTGTCATCTAAAATCTGCATCCATGTGTGCTTTTGTCCCATCAGACTTAGTCTTCCTCTCTGATGCTCTTCCTGATCTGTCAGTGACTGACAAGACTGTGTTTATCCAAGCACACATATGATATATATCATAGAAAACTCATGCTTATCTTTATTGTGCTAGTGTTACATAATATAACATTTCTTGAGTGATATTTACATAAAGGGTGTCTGATCAGTCATATTGCTAATAGCTATCTTGCTAATTTACAGTTGTATGTTTTCTCTAGTATCACACCCAGGGAGGAAATTACTGTTATTTTGATATGTTGGCAGAACGTCCTTCCTCATTCTGGCCCTGAGATACTGTCTGACTGCTCTTCCTACTCCAGTTGAGGGTCGCAGGCCTCTGCTCTTTGTATTGTGTGTTGTGAATTACTTCCCTGGCCTTTAACACCACAGTGACTGCAGGCCCACATCCACATCCAGGCTGACGGTGTGCGTTTCCCCATGATAAGGCTGGTTCTTCCTCTATCTCCTCTTTCTCTCTGTTCGAACACACCCACACTTTATCATTGTCAACAACAGTTATAGAAAGAGCTGATGCTTACCAGATTTGTGTAATGCTGATTTCATCAGTGAACTTTAGAGACATATATTAGCATATTTTATGCATGGTATCTGTTCAGTCTCCCGAGAATGAAAAAAACAGTGTTAGATAATCAGTTTAATCTGATTAATGGACCTTTAAAATCAGATTGTTCTTTGATTCCTCTTTTTTTTAACAACAAGGGACATATTTCAAGTATATATGTCTGTATAGCTGTGATCTCTGAATGCAAATGGCAAATAGCAGAAAGAGGACACACTTTTCTAAATCTATAAGAACATGCAGCAATAATGCATATAAAAATAGAAATTTTGTTTTATTCCCCTAAGGGCCGGTAAGATGATTAAAATTTGAGGGCATATTGCTCTCTTGCATGAGCTGCAATGCGTGTGATAGAAAAGGAAAGCTTGGGGGTGAATGATGACAGCAATGCTCCGGTGTTTAGTCATCTACCACAACCTGATTATCTGTGAAGATCAAACGAGCCAGTGCACTGGAAAACAAACAACAAAGCATTGCCAAGTTTCTCTCCAGAAACTATATCTGCTAAATTAGATCCTCCCAAACTAATTGAGCACATAGTTTGCTTTTGTTTGAGGACCTTTGAATTAGCAGTTGCTAATGAATAAATATTAGAGGAAGAAAGTCCTGCAAAATCCAGGTCACACAATAAATAAGTCATTGTCTGCTGGTGTGTAAAAGCTCCGTGGTGTGAAATCACGTGAGAACCGTTTCAACCCAGTTTCTTTGCTTTGGAAAATATGTTACATACACATTATTTCTAAATTATTGTACGTGGAAAAAGAAACACTGTAAGTGTTATTTCCTATCATTTGAAACCCTAAAACCCCCTATTTTGTGTGCTATTATTATCATAAATATTATTATAAGGAAGTGTAACCTATACTGCATGACAAATGTGACACCATGATTAACGAAAACTAAATAATATAATTCCATCTTTAGAAATTCTAAATATAACATTTTATCTAATATAACAAAACATACTTGATGTGGCCTGAAAATTTACTGCGTAGTAGGGATGAGAAATAAGGTGACAAATAGAATGGACTGTATTGCCATCTGCTGGTTGATACAAATGTAAGGGAAGGGATTGCAACTTACTGCATCTTTGAATTCTCAATTCTCCACATGTGCTTGTAGTAATAATAACTGCACTATATACTTTTAATATATATATAAGTATGCCAACTTATAGACCATAATAGCCTACATAAAAATGTGCAAATCAATATTTGTTAGATTTTGTTTTTTTGTGGGTGATTATAAAACTTTAAATAAAAAAAAACTTGCCAACATTAATATCGATGCAAGGAAAAGAAAGGGAATTGAAAACAGAAAAATCCACTCTAAACGTTGCTCCCAAACAGCGGAACTAAGCTTTCGTTTCCCCTGTTTCCTGTCGGATCTTTCCATAGCGTGACACATCAAAATGGCGGAGCGGGAAGAAGCAGTGAGAGGGTTCATCGCTGTTACTGATGTTGATGAAGAGAGGGCCCGTTTCTTCCTCGAGTCAGCCGGCTGGGACCTACAGGTCAGGGTCACACTGATCACCTTTTTACTGAAATATTGTGCTGTGAAGCACAAGCTCTGCAGCGGAGAATTCAACAGACTTAAACCTCCGCTCACTAGCAGCCAGTGAAATCTATAACCGGCTAACGAAATGTGCAAGTCACTCTTCATTAAAATCACCAGGAGTATCTTACACTGATTTAAGTCGTTAATCACACATGATGTGATTCACACCTCAGGATTTGGCAGTCAGTATTGCCTTGAAGTGGATGATGTTTTTAAACCGTGCCGGTCTATTTTACATAGAAATCCATCCATAAGCTAGCAGCTTTAGCTTGTTCAATTGATACTCATGTTTACATTCGTGGTTTATTGTTATTATTCGTCCTGAAATATATTAAATTGTGTTGTTTTGGAGTCGTTAATATAATTAATCTGATGTATCTATTTACTGAAAGCAAAAATTGGTGTGTTTTGTTTGTTTCTGTAATTGACCAACAGCGTGTCTGTCTGTGAAATGAGGTGACAGCTCTCTCTCCTCTGTCCCCTCAGCTTGCTCTAGCTAATTTCTTTGAAGATGGAGGAGATGATGATATTGCCACCCTCCCTCAGCCAGAAACTGGCCCTGTCACTCGATCCACAGGGCCAAGGTAACACAGGTCAACCTACGAACTGTTTGGGCTTCTCTATTATACAGTATCATCTATATGGTCACAATAACAGTTGTGCTGTGTTTAATAATCTCTTCTGATTTCAGTGAACACAGAGTGACATCCTTTAGAGATCTGATGCATGAGGATGAAGATGAGAGTGGTGAAGAAGAAGGCCAGAGGTATCAATATCTAGTACAGTTAATAACAGCTAAAAATGGACATGTCTTAATATTGGGGTTTATATTATTGTGGAATAATGTCATTATTTTTTATGGAATATTTATTTTTAAATCATGTGCCCTCGTAATCTTTTAAAAACATTAACTTCCCTTCTCTGATGACATGTGCACAGGAGTGAGGGCTAGACAATAATCCCTCACTTCCAGCAACCTGTCACACATGATATCCCACCAATTAGCAAATGACAACGATCCAATCAATTTCCAGTGGACAAAATCAAATTTCACCCCTACATTTTTCGTTCTCATTCTAAAAGCTGTTTCACTCGTATATACGTCACAATAGGGAAGAAAAGACGACCGCATTTTGTGACTTTAACACAAACATTAACTCTTTTTGTATTCATAAATAAGATAAGTTACATAAAGGGAAATGATTGCATAAAGGAAACACTGTCTTTTAGGTCTTTCTCCGTTTTTGCTGTTCGTTCAAATGGTCCTGTGGTGACACAGTATATATTAAAGGTGCCCTAGAATGTGAAATTGAATTTATTTTGGCATAGTTAAATAACAAGAGTTCAGTAGATGGACATGACATACAGTGAGTCTCAAACACCATTGTTTTCTCCTTCTTACTTAAATCTCGTTTTTGAAAAACACCCCTGAAAAATAGGCGAATCTCCACATAACACCGACTGTGACGCAACAGTCGGGATCATTAATATGTACGACTCCAAAAATGTGCATATGCCAGCCCATGTTCAATGCCAGGCGGAACTGTGCAGCCGAAGCATGGCAGTTGCTCAGTGTTTGGATGTACACATTAACACAAAAGTATTTTTTAGTTCCTTCATCCGCGCCTCTGAAGAAACAATGGGTTCATTTTATTTTCTCTGGAAATTTCCAAACATTTCACCGATGACTGTTTCCTCAATTTGGGCCAATACAGAGCTGGCCTCGGATCGAGCTACCAAGCAACACTTTCTGATGTGTAATTGTTCAAGTTCAGACAGGTAATCTTTCTCTCAAAATCGTTCAATACTGTTAATGCATCAGTAAGTCAAGCCAGTGACTAAAATATCAACTTCGCATCGTTTCTTTTAGTAGGATGAAAAAAAACTTGTGTGAATAAATTATATACAGAAAGCAACCAAAGAACAATCTTTCCACAGCGCGAGTTTATCTGGACACTAGGGATGCTCCGATCAGGATTTTTGCAGCCGATACCGATAGCCGATTTCTTGTCATGGTGATCGGCCGATACCGATGCTTAATATACTTAATATAAGACAATGATAAATACAAACAAAATGGAGCAGTCTGATGCAGCCCACAGGCTTAAATTAAACATTGTCCAATAGTAAACTTTGGAGGACAACATAAACATTTAATCACCTAAAATAGAGAAGTCATAACTTAAACCTTGTCCAATACAAGTCTGAGCAGGACAAAAATTAAATAAATAAATAATTTAATTGGAGTAACAAACTGGAGTAGTTTGATGCTACTCATTAGAAGGGGTGGGCATTTCGAGCAAAAATAATATTCGAAGATACTGTAGCTGGCTATTATTCGAAAATCGCACCCCTCCCCCATATGCACGCACACATGCATAGGCCACAAAAGTGAGAAAAGCGGAGTGGTCTGACGTTTAGGCTAAATATAACTTAAAAACGTAAATATACATTTCATATTTGTTTTATATAATATAATGTTCTTTTTTTTAAATTTCATCTATGTTGATTATATGAAAAAGGAACCGGATGAGATGGGTAAGATAGGATCATAAGATGCCCAATATATCAGGAGACATTTGGAGTGGGTCAGACATGATTTTGACCACTTAATTAAGTTTTGTTTTGTAGAAAGCCATTTTTTAAAGTGAATTTCGTTTTGTAAAAATTGTATCTTAATTTCAATCAATGTTTCATCAACCAATTGGCTGGATTTAATAAATAAGAAGCAAAATATAACAGACAATATAGGATACGGAGGCGCCCGCGCGTAAACTGGAGCGCGTCTCATAAATGAACCGAAACTCAGCGTATAAATGACTTGCCTCACAGACCTGAGAACGTATAGAAAGCTTGAAATGCTTTAAAAAAAAAAACATTCAAATCGATAAGAAATGGGGTACTCTGCTTATGTAGTCTATCCGTATGAAGTGTGCATTTCTCTCTATAGGCGCGTTCACTACATGCGAAGATGGCGTCAACATCGCCAACTGTATCTTTGCAGCCAGAAAACACTAGTTTATAAATAAACAATTCAAATGTACCATGCTGCCTAAACATTACTTTTGCCGGTTCTTTGTGGCAAGCTTTATGCATGCGCTTGATATGCGGAATATAGGCAATATTACGATAACGCTCATTATGGTTTAGTATTTTCTCCCATATATATTTAATTAAATTAATATAAATATGCAATTAGACTAATGGCTTAAATGAACTACTACTAGTCAACTAGAAAAAAACTTTAGTCGTGCACGGGCAGCCCAATTTATTTCACATATTTCCTAACCAGCGCGTCACTGCGGGTGTTCTGAGCGAGCGGCGCTGTGTGGACTGAGCGAGCGAAGTTACTCTTCAGAAAGCTGATCTCTCTGGAGGACAATGCTCCTCCACATGAGATTCCTTTGAAACATACATGGCAAATAGCTGTTTCTCGACACATCATAGCAATTCCACACCGGCGATGACATGACTGCCAAATCATTTAAGTCCCCACGCATCATGTACCTTCTCACGTTTTGATGTAGGCCTAATCAAATTGTGATCGGTTTGTGAGATCGGCCAAGTTTAGTGAGTACCGATCGAGTCATAAAATGTGAAGATCGGCCGATACCGATCTTTGGCCGATCGATCGGAGCATCCCTGCTGGACACTTGCCAAACTCGTTATGAATGCAATGACGCACGTTACACTGCACAACGAAGCTCTTACTGTATTTACATGATCGTGTTTGCATTGGTGAAAGCATTAGAGAGAGTGCAGAAACTGCGTTGCAATGATAAGATCTTCATTCTCGCGATCAACACACTGTCATCTGCTTGCTCAATGCTCAGTCATCACGGCAACATTTTATGTGATGGGAATAGATCTAAATACTTTAAAAACATCTCACGATTCGTTAATCTCGATAGCTGTAATAGTAAAAACGTATAATAGCTGTAGTAAAATTATTTGAGAGAGTTTCACATGTAATACATAGCTATTTCATATGCAAGCATGTCAGCCAATCACAGCAGAGGCCGGTTACACACAGCAGACACGCCCCTTCAAACAGCTTTCAAATCAGAGGCTAAAATCAGGCTAGGAAAAATGCCTTTTATTTCTAAATGATGACTAATTTTGATCTAAAAAACATACTAACATTATTAGGTCAACCCAGGAAACATTATAAAATAATAGAAAAAAAAAATCTAGGGCACCTTTAAAAGGGAAAAAATATCGGTAACGCTTCCTTTTACAGTCCTGTTACCCATGTACTTACTATGTACTTATTATAGTAATTATAATTACTGGATAATAACTAGGAACTAACCCTGAACCTACCCCTAACCCATGTACTTACCATATATTAGCCAGTACTTTCTAGGTAAGTACTCTGTAAGTACACGTAAGTACTGTACTGTAAAAGAAAGCGTTACCAAAATATCAATGTGATTTAAAAAAAAAATACATGTTTGATAATTATACCACAATTAGACATATTGTTTAGAAACTGTGTTAAAGTCCCCATGAATTAGTTTAAGTTTTTTGGCTATTAGTATGAATATATTAGCCTTACTGTTATCTATAAGCTCCATCTATGTGCTCCAAAACAATGACAAAATTTGCATTTAGAAGATATAAGCATGGAAAACGTACAGTCTTCCGCCAATATGGATCAATGATTTTGATGACATCACTGCACTTCAGCTTCTCGTCAGATGTTTTGTCCAATCAAATGCTCTCTAGAATCTAAAGCGTCTAGAATCAATGTCCTTCCGTCTTCCTGTTTCAGTGGAAATAATGTTAACAATGAAATGTTAATGAATGTCATGTTTACACATTTAATGCTCCTTTTTTTGAGTAACATCAGACTTCTCGTCCTGCAGGTTCTTTGCCGGGGGCTCAGAACGCAGTGGGCAGCAGATTGTTGGCCCTCCCAAAAAGAAAAGCCCAAATGAGGTGGTTGAGGATTTGTTTAAAGGAGCTAAAGAGCATGGGGCGGTTCCTGTTGACAAAGCAGGGAAAGGACTTGGAGAATCCAGCAAGTCCAAGGTAGTTTCTTTCACAGAGTAAACTTTACTGTATATTAAAGATAATTTGCTTGTTGCATACATATATTTATAATTCTATCTCATGTGATTTTGAAGTGCTCATGTTTCCTTTCTGTCTGCTCATTCTACAGCCGTTTATAGGTGGTGGTTATCGATTGGGTGCAGCACCAGAGGAGGAGTCAACTTATGTTGCAGGAGCTCGGAGACAGCCCGGCAGTTCACAAGATGTGAGTCACCTAGCCTGTGCCTGCTGAAGTCATTCAGATGTAGAGAGAGATCTGCTACAGTATAAATAAAACAAAATTCTGTATCAAAATTTATAGGCAAGAAAAGTAGTTTGTTTAGGCTGGGTTGTATGAATTACAAACCTGCGCACATATTTTAAAAAGCACATAACTATAGAATTCTGAATGAGCATGTGAACGCCGTCAGCGTTAATCACAGGTTCGCGTTTAAAGTCTGATCATTTCGACGGAGGTGAATCAATCAAAGTTAACTTTAGCTGGAAGTAACATTATTCAAGAACCGCTATAACGCCAAAACAATCTGTTACCTTAAATTATATGTTTATCTCTGTAAAGCTGCTTTGAAACAATTCATTGTTAAAAGCGCTATATAAATGAAGATGACTTGACTTGACTACAGTGATTTGTGCTGTACCAACAGGTGCATGTGGTGCTGAAGCTCTGGAAGTCTGGCTTTAGTCTTGATGATGGAGAGCTTAGGAACTACAGTGATCCCGGGAACGCTCTCTTCTTGGAGTCTATCCGCAGAGGGTGAGCTCTGAATTCATTCAGGGATGTTTGGCAGAAGTTTACAGTAGGGATGTTAACCGATGACCGCTTGACCGATGGCTGACCGTATGAACGTTGACCGATCAAAGATACTCGGTTAAAAAAAAGAAAAGTGATCTCCTAAATTAGGCTATTATAGACAGTGGACTAAACACCACTACAGTTAGCCATCTCATTCCAAGATTTTTTGTGTGAAGTGAACAAATCCCTCACACTCAATTTTTCATAACTCGCCTGTTTATACTTAATAAACCAATAAAAACATTTGGCGCGAGGTCACAGCGTTTGGGTTCGCGTGCTCACAAGGTTTGTGAAAAGTAAAGGCTACAGGCTAAAACACTCGAGGTTAGAGCCAGGGCAGACGACAGGATGAAGCGTGCAAAGAAAAGTAGTGTGTGGTAGAGATGCGCGGATGGGCTATTATTTCATCCGCAACCGCATCACAAAACTCATCATCCGTCCGCCATCCATCCGCACCAACGTTTTTGACCAATTTTCAAAACCGCACCCGCCCGCCATCCCCTGATTGGGCGATACAAGGCGCTGCTGATGACAGCCTTGAGACTAGAAAGCTCTCAGAATATCAGCAGTGAACTCGTCGCCGATCGGCGCGCAGGGACAAAAATAAATAAATAGCCTAAATGAAACGCACTTCGGCAAACCTGACCTTATCTGTTGGGCTACTGTACAATATTTTCATTGTAGCCTAATAGAAAACGCATTTTGCCACATAATTTCAACATGCTGCTATTGTATGGGGCGGGACAGTTCTCCATTACGGACGCGAACACTCAGAAAGCGGCACTAAAAGACTTTCAAACTTTCACAGGTCTCAATAAAGCACAAAGCCTTTCTTTAAAGGGATACTCCACTTTTTTTGGAAATAGGCTCATTTTACAACTCCCTCAGAGTTAAACTGTTGAGTTTTACCGTTTTTGAATCCATTCAGCCGATCTCCGGTTCTGACGGTACCACTTTTTGTTTGAGAACTGCTAATGGTCTCGTCCACTTCAATGATGTATGCTAAAAGTGGTACCGTCAGAACTGGAGATCGGCTGAATGGATTCAAAAACGGTAAAACTCAACAGTTTAACTCTGAGGGAGTTGTAAAATGAGCCTATTTCCAAAAAAAGTGGAGTATCCCTTTAAAGCGAATTTCGTTTTGTATTAATTGTATCTTCATTTTAATCCATGTTTCATTAACCAATTTCCTGGATTTAATAAATAGGCTAAAAAGTAAATTGTCTATCTTGATTGTGTAGGCTATTTTTCATTATAAAATATTAGGCTGTGTATACCGACATGGATCAATTATTAATATTAGATTTCATCTATCTTTTGTAGGCATAGATGGCGCACCAACGAAAAAGCCTAGGAGTGACTTCGGCGTTTCTTTAATATCGAGGCTCTATAGTTTATTATATGATTGTTAGGCCTGTTGATGGTATAAAATGAATTGCACTGTGCCTGAAAAAGACGCGCTCTCCGTTCTCTTTCCGTGCATTCAAAATTAACGGGAGTCTTCAGAACAGGCTCGTCCAGCGTCAACAGCACCGAACTTAGCTCCAATGTCAATCAACGTCTGGGCCACTTGGTGGAATCCTTTACGAGAAAAAATATCGAACGGGCGCATATCAAGAGAGCGCACAACTTATTCCAGGCAACACTTTTCTGACCTTCTATTTCCTTTGTTTTTAATTCTCCTTTTTTTGAGTTTGTCACGTAGCTACCTCCTTCGCCGGCGTTGCCATCTCTGATAACAACAAGCAGTCTCTGCATAGACTCGACTAGCTGATGAAAATTTGACTATTTCAAAGTGTGCTCGATTTTTTTTTTTTTTTTTTTTTTGGATGTAGGTATATAGTCATATAACAATATTTAACAATGTATATTTTTTCATTTGATTTGTTCAACCGCCCGCCACCCGCCCGAATTTAATTTAAAAAAAATTTTTCGTCCCGTCATCCGCCCGATCCGCGGTTTATCCGCTGAGTCCGCGGTTGGCGGTTACAGCCGCGGACTCCGCGGATCGGGCGGATGACGGGACGAAAAAAAATGTCTAGTGTGTCACACATCTCTAGTGTGTGGGACCATTTCACCAAAAAGAATGACACGGATGTAAGTTGCAACTTGTGTGATACAGTGCTTAAATACAGTAGTAGCACAACATCTATGATGTATCACCTGAAAACGCGACACCCGCAAGCCTCTTCGGGTGAGAAAGGTAGCCAAAGCCAACCTACCGTGTCATACTAGCTGGTAGGAAATGTGACAAACAGCGCTCCGAGACTATTATAGTGTGTGTGTGAGCGGGAGGCAGAGCGGCAGAGAGATGGGGCAGAGTTGCGAAATTGCAGGCGCGGCTCGAAATGGCTGTTATTTCTAATAGCGTAGCATATTTTAAACTAACCGGTTAACCGGTTTCAACCGGCTAATGAGGCTCGGTGGTCGGTCAAGAAAATGTTTAGTTTTCGCCATCCCTAGTTTACAGAAGTTTAGCTGATTAGCAGAGGTTATTGTTCCCCCTTAAGTCGCTTCAAAAAGCATCCAACATTTTCCATTAAATGTAACGTTATTTAGTTTCATGTTGGACCCTCTTGACATTAGCATTGAAAATCCTCATTGGTTGAACACTATTAGATAGTCCTCCTCTAACTGGTTGTGAAATTAGACTAGATAGTCCACTAAATCTCTTTGTTACTTGCTGACTCACTCAGGGAGATTCCTCTGGAATTGAGACAGCGTTTCCGAGGTGGTCAGGTAAACCTAGACATGGAGGACCATCGGGATGAAGACTTTTCCAAACCCAAGCATGCTTTCAGGGCCTTTACTGGAGAAGGACAGAAACTCGGCAGGTTGGAAAACTCTTTCTTCTCTTCGGATTTCTTTTCACTGAGCTGAAGGTGGCTTAATTACTTAATTACACTGTTTCCCATGCTGAAACACATATATGGCTAATAGAGCTGCTCGGTTCTGGATAAATTGAGAATCATGATTTTAAATATGAGATTCACAATTATAAATGGACAACTAAACAACATGTAATTTACTAGAGGTTCTGAAGAAAAGGTTGATCAGTCTATTGTATATATAAAAATATATCTTTTAAAAAAACGGTTGGAATTAATGATTTCGTTTTTGGTAAATTTTTGTTTTTGGGTGAACTAACCCTGTTATTTTTGTAAAATATCATTGTAAAATAAAAACAAAACAATATAAGAAAAATAATATAATGATATTAATGAAAGTTTTATGTAATCGTACAACTGTAAAATTACTATATTAATATTATGGCTGTCTAAATTTCTTCCTTTTTTAAATGTTAAACCATCAAGCTTTTATTTTGGCTGTAAACTGATGGGACACCATAAAACTTCTCTTTTGATGACAACAGCCAAAATCATTACAAGTTTTGGGAAGATGGATGCATATATTTTGTTTAATCGCAGTCTTTCTGATTTGATAATCACACTAAGCCATATTGCAATTTTGGTTTTGCTTCGATTAATCGCGCAGCCCTAGTAAATCATGAATTGTTTAGTTTGATGGGCACTTTGGAGCTCTATCAATTCATTGTACATTGTGGTCTACTTGATAACACTTGATCATTAGATGTTATATAATTGAATGTGGCTGAACTGTCCCTCAGCGCCACTCCAGAGTTGGTGTCGCTCCAGAGCAACCCGCTGGACCAGTCTAGCAGTGAAGCTGAGGCTAGTGCTTCCATCAGTGTGGACAGCTCTCAACCTGTCACTAGCATCCAGATCAGACTGGCCGATGGAGGCCGGCTGGTGCAGAAATTCAACCACACCCATAGGTAAAAGCATTATAAAAATGCTTTGAATATAGTGAAACATCTTCCTCACGACTGACTGACTGTTCCATCTTTCTCCATCTCAGGGTGTCTGATGTGCGTCAGTTTGTGGCGAGCGCTCGTCCAGCTTTAGCCGCCACTGAGTTTGTTCTCATGACGACCTTCCCCAACAAGGAGCTGACGGACGAGAGCCAGACGCTGAAGGAAGCCAACCTGCTGAATGCCGTCATTGTGCAGCGGATAAAGTGACAGTGCCATCTGCTGGCCTGGCTTTATTAAAGCACTCTTGAGTTGGAGATACCTGGACTGAAAGGACTTCTAATTACTTAATTTTGTTTTCTTTAGTGATATGTTATTCCCCTGTGACAGTTTTGAGGGTGGTGGGTGTTACTGGTTAAGCAAAATGGAGATGAATGGGGAAGCAATCACACTGTGATATAGTTAAAAGAGAGAGCAACCGAAGCGAAGATCTAACAAGTTTTATGATTTTAGAATAACTGCTGAACATCTCAGATTGATTAAAAAGAGCTGAAGAGTGAAGAGTTTTGACATTCTTTTACCTCGATGTCTATCTTGCAGCTATACGCTGCTTCTGCTTTACCACCTCCTCAGTTTTATTCCTCGTTCTGTGATTCTTCTCTTAGCATTTCTCAGAACTGTCATTAAAAATAAAGTAGCCTTACAACCCCATACAGTGACACTGACCTCCAAGATCAACCTCAACTGTCAATGATCAAAATGTTTATTTTTACAAAACAGTCTTTCTTTCTTCAGATTTGAGGATTTTTTGTTATTTAGGTTGTCATGCTATATTATTGAGTTTTTTTATTATATTAATTTTGCCTGATAATAAAATAAAATAAAGAGTGGGTTAAGAGCCAACTTCAGTTTCGGACACTGCTGCTGGTAAACAAATCAGCGGCCTTCTTGTATTCTATGCAGAAACTGACTATAAATCTGGACGTATTGTGAGCTGTGGTGAACCTGATATTAAACCCCTTTGTCTGGCATTGGAGAGCGCTTTCTTTTTTTTTTTTCTTTTTTTTTTTGTTGAGTTTTTCAGAGTATGGGACCAGCACCAGATGCTGATACCCTAGGAACCCCCCCCCAAAAAATAGGACCTTTGAATGTCAGGAAGCAGTTTGTTTTTGAAAGCTTAGTCTGATGTAAGATCATGCTAGATGGCGTGATGGAAGCTATTAGTTCAGAAACTGGAGTCATGAGTTTGTCATGCACTCCCAAGGTCTGCGGAGTCCACCGGCTTGCAGTGTATTTGTGAAGAATATTTTCACATTTAGCACAGTAATGAAATTGAAATCATACATTATTGACTTAATTGAATTTATTTATAAAAATACATCTTAACATTTTAGCATATGGATTCCACCATAATGTATACAAGTATTCCTCCAGTATTAAATGAGATTACGTTATATGGCCCGTTTTATTATTAAATTAGATATAATTCAGCTAATCAGATATATTAGTCATGGTTGCCTTTTAAGAGTTAAGCAAGTTGAGCTGATTTTTGGCATGGGCCGTGGGGCTATATTTCAGTTGTGTATATTTATGTCTGATTAAATACGGTCTAAATAAGAGAAAAATAAATGTCTTGTTTGTTGCATAGAGATATCATGAAGTATATAATCACTCAGTGGAGTATGTCAACAGCAAACATTCTTCGCATGGCTTGTCTTTTTTTTTTGGAGGCTCATTGCTATTCCCTTTTGCGCAGATGGATGTACATGATTCCACTGCACAGGAGCAAAGGTACACAAACCCACGTCAAGAAAAAGCAGTAGCCGAAGTGTCCCGAGCTCAACTCCCGAGAGTCCTGAAGGATTTCTTTATTGTGCAGGGTGTAAATGAGCACGGCAGTGAAGGCGTTGAGGCCTGAAAGGAGACAGAAAAGGTCAGAAAAAAAATTCCAAATGTTTTTTCTCGACGTAAGAGCAACTGAAACGAGTGTTTGTGTATTTTGGCTTGGGTTGAAGACGTTAACCTTGGGTAATAAAGCAAATTAATTCAAAGCACATACCGGCAAATGCCTGGCAGATGCCCGTGAGGTAAAAGAGTCCTCCTTTAGACATGGTGAAGAGTTGTCCCAGGAATATCAGGAATGAAATGGAGGAGAAAACCACGGACAGGACCATCAGAACCTGCACAGCTTGAAGCCACTCTGGTGGAAACAAAACATGGAGACCATTCTAGACACTTTTGAACCTCTGTTTGGTGATGGTTATTGCAATAAATTCCCATATTTCAAAATCATTTAAGTGCTCAAATGTGTTATTTTACCTGTCTCGTGTGATGTTGCACAAAACCACGCCTCGGTTTCATTGTCAAATCGGCAGTTGTACCACAGGTCTGAGTTTTCTGTGCCTTGCCAAACCCACCAGGACTGAATCATAAATACGCATTAATGTATGCACATTATTCTGATTTTTGGGGATAAAGTGCTTCATATACTTACCTTCTCCATGGTGGCGATAAAGAGAACGGCCAGTGTGATGAGATGAAGCAGCGTGACAAACATCAGAAGGGACGCCATGGTGATAAACAGCACCTGTCAACATCTGAAACGTTCTCATCTGTGCATTTCTGTGTTGTAAATCAGGACACATATTTCGCTTTTAACACATTTAAAATATTTTATATATATATATATATATATATATATATATAGAATATTTATAAAATATTGGCAAACATTTAAGTGAAACGTATAACTAAATAATAATTATATATATATATATATATATATATATATAATTTGTTTATAAACATTTAACTTAAATGTTGGCCAATATTTTAAATGTTGGCCAATATTTTATAAATATTCAATATTATTTTGAACTATTTAAAATATTTGTTATCATTTATTTATTATTATTATATTGTTTATAAAAGCATTTCACTTTTAAAATGTTTTAAAATATTTTTTTCAAATTTATTATATAGTTAGTGTTCTTTTATATTATTTATAAAAATAAATAAATGATGCAATAAAAACATTATTATATAATAAATAAAATACTATTGTTTGATATTAAGTCGAGGGTTCAAGACACAACTGCATAATTGTACGTTTAGCCTCAGGTTTTCTGCTTTTGCCAAAACCTAGACAGGGAAAAGGGCAGGAAGTAAAAATACTAAGTAAACTGACTATGGCTGAAGTTCAGAGTGGAGAAATGAAGGCACTCTTTCAGACTTTTCTAAGTATGAAAGAGTGTGACACTGTGCTTTTTCTTCAGGTCAAAGCTAAAGAAGAACAGCCTTGGGAAAAGTTATGTTCTCATAACCAGTCTTCAATCATTCTAGGGAATTTTTACATAAAAAAAACTAAAACTGTATGTAGACTTCTGACTATAATAAAATGATGATGTTCATTCCCTTGTTAAAATCCTTTCATATTCACAGCAGAGTTTGAAGTGGTAAAGTATTGTTATATTTTATGGTTCAAGTTGTGTTTTTATAGTTTTTATTTATTTATTATTTCACACTATAAACGACAATAAAAGCAGATCAAATAGAAGTAAACTCACCAAATGTGATCCAAATCCAGCAGAGGCAAATATACGATGTATTGACTCTTTCAGTGTTTATTCAGATCTGCTGCTATACTCTCCTCCCTTTTCAGCTCCAGTAAATTGGAGGATTTTCTGGGGTCAACTTCAGAAACGCCCATTTCCTTGCTGTTGGGTTAGTTCTGTTGTTCTGCACACAGTCCCATCTGATCCTCCTTGTGTGTTCAGGAAATGCATGAGCATGGGCACACGTCTCTCTTTCCTTACAGTCGTTTATCATCTCAGAGGGTGTGCGTTGAGTTGGGCGTCTATCATAACTTTAATCTCCTTTGATGATGTCGATTATGTGAGTGGGTTTCATTCATCATCGCCCATGCGATGGAGTTATGGGACAGCCACCTAAAAGGAGAAAACTACAGGAACCCTAGTGTTTATTTGTCCTGCTGTCTACAGTAAATGTGGGTGGACCAAGGAAAAAAATAAACCCTATTATTTATATATGCTATAGGCTAGTATCTTTATATATTATTTCTACAAGTGTTACAAATGAATTGACACAATAAATACAATACAATCTTTCCATTACTGAAAATACATCTGTACATTGTATTGAATGCAATGCATTGAAGGGTATATTTCTTTATTGGTTATTTCAGTGCTCTTACTTCTCTTAGTCTATTTAAAAATATATAATTGTGTTATTTTATAAGCTCATAACAATTGCTATAGGTTAATGGTTTAAAAATATCTAAGCATATTTAGCTTAAAAAGGCATGGTTGACATTTGCTGTTTATAACATTACAATTCTAAATGCTTTATATAAAGTTATATAAGATGATGTTCAAGCATGCTGATGTCCAAAATTATTGGCTTGTTAAAATCATTTCATTTTAACAGCAGAGTGGTTTGAAGTGGTAAAGTTAAGTTGTTGTATTTTATAGTTTAGAAATGTGTTACATGACTCAAGGTTAATTTTTTATTATTATTTAATTATTATTTTGTTATATTATTATAATTGTTGTTATTTTGTGATTTTTTTTCAGTAGGCCTACATGCGTAAAGGTTAAAAAACGAATATTATTAATTAATTCATTATTATTATTAAAAAGCAAGGCCTTGGGGTGAAGAAATAAAGAAAAAGAAACAAGAATGGTAAAAGTTCCAGTCTATTATTATTAAGTAATCAATTTAAACTATTTACAAATATGATTTTTTTTCCAGTTATGCACACATTCACTCTTATTCGTATGTCTAATGTCAAAACGCACAATGTTAAAACGTCTCGACGCATTCAGTTATGAATTATGTAAATAATAGCATGCTCAATTCAAAAAGGTGAAATTTCATAAAAATATTGTGCAATTTGCATTACTGTATCTTACTGCCAGTGCCAGTGCCAGCTGCTGAACATTTCTATCGTAAAACAGTTGTCGAATATTAAATGTTTAGCTACGTACAGTACATCTCACCAGTCTTTCGCTGCTCTGTTTACACAACACCCTTTTCAATAAAAAAACTTTTTATGTGTTTTGGCCGTTCCATCATGGTTCCATCCTAAAAATGTAACTTCAGTTCAGTTGTTGTTGTTGGTTACCTCTCCAGTCCAGTAGGGTGCAGTATTAACTCTATCATCCCCGGTGGTTTCGTGGAAACTTCTCAACGTCACAACGTCAGCGAAACAGCAATGGCGACAAGGCGCTCTGGGTTTTCACGGACCCAAACAAGCAGAGGAAATTCATGCAAAAACATTTTTAATAAAATACAACAAGGCCAAACCACAGGTGTTGGGTTGACTAGAGGGTCTCAGGTGAGATTTTAAGTTATATAAAGGTCCAAACTGCCTCCAAAACGTGTCGTAGACACTGTTTACATACGAGGGCCTGAAGACCCCTCAATCTAAAATAACGTTAGCTCTCAAAGAGTCATATATTGCATTTCATTGAGAGCGATAATCGGACAAACGAATTGTGTAGGGTGAATGACAAATGTGTAGTTGTAGGTTTTTATTTTAAAAAACGGATTTAGTGATTCTCTTCCTGCTTTTCAACTTAGCAAACATGATTAGTTTATGAACTAACTATATGATAAAGTACTGATGTTTTATGTATTTGGATTGCTTACTAAAGGTGTTTAGTCGTAAAATAGTCTGATAACAATAGGAGCAATAATTAATATATTTTAAATGCATTTAGTGTTTGAGCAGTGTTGTGTTTGTGTTGTCGAATGAAGATTCCTGCGGTTTTGCTGGAGGAGAGAGATAAAAGAGCTCAATGGCAGGGAATACCAGTGTTATTGAGGAGACTTCATGAGAGCAGCCATCCTAACAGTGATCTCTCCAAGATTGACAGCATGGTCATGGTAAGCAAAATGTCATCCATTCATACAAAATGCATCGCCTGAAACCCATTCGTATAATTTGTGATCAGATGTTAATTGCGTTGTTTTGTGATTGTGCAGGAGCTGTCGTCATTGCTGTCTATGGAGGCCATGTCATTTGTCACAGAGGAGCGTAAAACTCCACAGGAGTCGGTCTCACCCAATACATATACGTTTGACCTGTTTGGAGGAGTTGATGTGAGTTTCTATAATGCCTGACTAATCTTGATCAAGATAAGTTAGATTGTCATGTAATGACATGTAAATGGATATTCTTATTCATCTTGTATGTAGTTTCTAGTTTTCAATTGTTCTGAAGCTAGAGCCCCAAAGAAGTTAGACTACTTTGCAAAAGTTTGGGGTCAGTGCGATTCTTTTAAAATAATAATACATTTATTCACACAGAGCAGTAAAGTGACAGTAAAGACGGCATAAACATTTATATTATAAAAATGTTTATATCTGACAATTGTGAGTTAGCTCTCAGAATTGTGACTTTGACTTTATCAGAATTGTGAAATAGTCGCAATTTCCTTTTGTATTTTCTTAATTCCGTGGCAGAAACAAGCTTCCATCATTTTTAGCATTTATGATAAAAATGTTTATTGAGCATCATATTAGACTGATTTCTGAAGGATCATGTGGCACTGAAGACTGGAGTAATGATGCTAAAATTCAGCTTTGACATCACAGGAATAAATGCAGCTTAATTTGTCTAAGCAAGGCAGAGGTTGTGCTTCAAATAATGCCACTTTGATTTACTTTCACTGTCATTCCATCATTAAATGTTCTGTAATGCTTTATTTTCATCTGTCAGTAAAATATTGTAATGCTTGCTTGGTCATTTTATGATGACATTGATGCTCACAAGAAGAGTCTTATCAAGCGCTGTGTTGGATGCAAGGTTATTATAGTTTAGCATTTTTGCAGGTTTTATTTTAATATCATTTTCAAATTTCCTATAAATTTCAGTTTAGTTTTAGTTAGTTTCATTAATAGTTTTGTTAGTTTTGAAACACATTTCTATTTAGTTTTTTTATATATTTAGTTTCAGTGTTAGTTTTATTAATTATAGTTTAGCAGAGTTAACAGAACACTTCCAGTTAAAGAAATTTAATTTAATCAAAGTTAAATGTCTGCAGTTTACAGTTAACTCTTGTGCAAACCTCTTAATAATAAAAATAAAATAATTTTTGAGATTGAACAAAAAACCGAACAAATTCAACTTAATAGTAAAAATTAGTCATTCATACTCATTCATATTAGAGATGAAATCTTGTTAAATGTATGTAATTCTTTTATTGTTATTTATGATTAATCCTTTCAAACATTATTCTTGTATTGATCCATTAATGCTTTTTGTCTATTGCGCCTTTTAATATCATATACTCATACTCATATTCATGTATTCTATTCAGACCAGACATTTAGTATACTTCTACTCTGACAAATGTACTTCTATTTCTAGGATAGGCATGCTGTTTGTTTTTTTCCGTTTTCTGCTCAGTATGGTATATCTTTGTATATCTTGTCTAATATGTGTGGTATTTTATTTAGTTTCACATGAGATGGTTATCTTACTTGCAATTAAGGTACAGCTGTATTTGCATAAGGTCTAGACATGATGGAAATACTTATTTGGCCATTTCTGCTTCTTAGGGCTGGTTCACACAGAAAGCGGTTTTGCTTTGAAGAAGCGCAAGGTCTCGAGACGCGTCTTTTAAAAGTTGAACTTATTTTAACTTGAGTGCCGCGTTTTTAGAGCGTCGTGTCATGCAGGAGACGCTGCAAAAGACGCGAGACTCAAAGCGCACCGGTCATACATTAAAAAATAAAGTTGCGCAGTGGAATGGAAAAAACGTGATTTTCCGGTACAGGAAGAGAGCTTATTAACTACACAAACGATTATTTATTTTTGCTAATTATTTTTTTTATTTCAGTTAGTTTTTCAGTAACTGTTGTTAGTTTAGTTTAGTTTTAGTTTTTCATTTATGTTGAAATTTCTATTTTATTTCAGTTTACGAAAATGTTTTTTTTTACCAATGGTTTTAGTCTTAGTTTCAGTTTTAGTTTACAAAAATAACCTTGGTTGCATGTTCTTGGCTTTGTCTTCTTATTTTGCTTTTGCGGTGTGGAAAAGACAGCAGACACTGCACTCTTGAGAACATACAAAATCTTACAACCAGCACTTTAACTACATGGAATCATAATATCTGAATTTAAAAGGAACCAGTTTGGCTGTAACCGTAATTATCATACTGGTAATAACAGTATACAGATTTGTTAGTTACTCAGTATGCTTTTGTCATTCGTCTGCAGCTATTCGTAGAGATTCTGATGCGGCCAACACTCACAGTACAAGGAGACCTACCCATACGTAAGCTTATTTAAATATTAAATCCAAGCTTCATCATTTCCACTCTTCTTATTGCTTACTTTGGTAACACTTTACAATAAGGTTCATTAGTTAACATGAAATAAGAATGGACAATACTTCTTCAGCATTTATTAATCTTAGTTAATATTAATTTGAACATTTACTAATACGTTATTAAAATCAAAGGTTGTGTTTGTTAACATTAGTTAATGCACTGTAAACTAACATGAACAAACAATGAACAGCTGGATTTTGATTAAGTAACATTAGCAAAGATTAATAAATAGTTTAGCAAATGTATTGCTCATTGTTAGTTCATGTTAGTTATACATTAACTAATGAACCTTATTG